GATTCCCGCCCCGCAGGCAGCAGCACCTACCTCTTGGAGCCCGGTCCAGAAGCCAGCCCCTGCTCTGTCCGGCGCGCGTCAGCACCCATGTGGCTGCAGTTGCTGCACTTCCTGCCCCCCGGGGGCGGAGGCCGGTTACTGTGGCCAACCAGACTTTTAGTGTCCGGTCTGTACTGACCAGATGCTGCCAGGTTCCCTTTTTGACTGGACATTCCGGTCGAAAACCGGACACCTGGCAACCCCACACAGAGACCACGACATAGCTTTGAGAACGTCTCTGGGTTCCTGCTGGGCTAGGCCTCAGTCAAACCAGCGAGCGTGTATGTCTATAGTCAGTATTGTTAGATCGCTCAAAGAAAAGGCCAGAGGAGAGTTTGTGGTGTCCTGAGACCTGTTATCAAGTCTGTTATCAGCAGGCATTAGAGACTGTCTATTGCCAGGCATGGTCTCACAGCATGAGCAGGAACTCCTGCCTTTTAAATCCAGCGTTGCCACCAACTCCCTCTCTGCAAGTCCCTTAACTTCATAGCTTCAGTCCTCCATATGTACCAGGGGGATGATAATCCTGAGCTCACTGAGGTGCTGCAAGGATAAACGGGTTCATGTTTGTACATACAAAGCTCCCGTATTGTTATGATAACACTCTCCCCTCCAGGCTAGAGTTCTGGCTTTATGCCTTACACGAGGGTTTGGCTCCATTCATACCCAGAACTCACACTGCTGACTACAGGTATAACTGGATCTCCTAGCTCCGTCTATAGCACACTCAGCACTAGAGGGGTCGCCGCTTTGCTACAGCTGCAGTTCTTCAACTGAAACACACTAAGGGTATGGCTACACTACCTGCCGGATCGGCAGGCAGCGATTGATCCAGCAGGGATTGATTTATCGCGTGTAATCTAGACGTGATAAATCGACCACCGAGCGCTCTCCCGTCGACTCCTGTACTCCAGCTCGCGAAGACACCGCGGTAAGTAGATCTAAGTACGTCGACTTCAGCTACGTTATTCACGTAGCTGAAGTTGCGTAACTTAGATCGATCCCTCCCCCTAGTGTAGAGCAGGACTAAGGCTTCTGCTACCCACCCTTGGCAGCTGGTGCTATGTAGAAATGGAAAACGGAACTTTTTTCAAGACCAGTAGGGGATTATCTCTGGTTTCCTGGCTTATAAAATAAGCCTTAGCATTTATATGATGATTACATATTCAAAGCACTTTGAAAACATTAATTCATCTTCCCAATATCCCAGTGAGGTAGGGAAGAATTATCCCCATTTTACAGGTGGGGAAACTGAGGCAGAAAGGTGCAGTGATGTGCCCAAGGCCACAGGCAAGTCAGCTGCAGAGCTGGGACTGGATTCCATGTTTAGCCCACCGTGCCCCACTGTCTCTCGTAGTCTCCTTCGCCTGCAACAGAACATAGGCATCCATGGCTCTGTGAACAGAATAGAAACTCAACAGAAGAGGAGAATTGTGGATAAAGGTTGTTCTCATTTATGCCCAGTGGCACTAGATGTCACTACAGAGCAAGACTCTAATTATAGTAACAGGGCCACAGCTGCACAGTGGAGAAAATACATGTTTGAAAGAGTTTGGACCTTTGAGTTGACAGTAAAATTTGTTCATGGCACAATGTTGCTACAAAGCCTCAGAATAAAATCCTTAAAAAAAGGATTACTGGCATTCATTTAACTCTTGTTAAATCAGTTCAACAAAGAGAGAGAAAAAGTGAAGTTTCCTGGTTCAAAGCTGCCAGGGGTTTGCGTTCAGATAGCCTTAAACTCGTTCTGCTTGAAACAATCTAGGTGAATCTATAAATAAGTCTGGAAAAGGTTAACTAAAGTATCTGTATACGGGAGGTGTTGGCTCTCAGGCCGTCATTGACAGCAGGGTAGAGTGCCACCCGATTGGAGTGATGGCATTGTAGACACACTTTGCCCTGGTGTTAATGCTGCCCTGAGCTGTAGGGCAAAGAAGAATCAAGCTGTTGTCTAATTACAGAGGCCACCTGGACAGAGGCAGGGGATAGTGCCCTGTGGCTGGCTGCCATAGACAGACTCCAGCTCTCCTCCTGCTGGAGTGAAGGCTGCTGCTCGTGTTAGGGAAGGGAGTGTTCTTGGTTCCGCAGGGGTGAAGCAGGGAGAGGTGATGGCAGAGGACTGGTTCCTGTCTGTTAAAGGAGGAGCTCAGCCAGCGTGAGCTAATCCAGCCCCCGCCCCAGGCAGGGCGTGCGTGCGTCTCGCCTGTCACACAGCCCTGCTGCCTGGATGCAAAGAGACTCCCCAGGCACAGTTACAAATTGCAGCCCCGCAGAGCGCTATTCGCAGAGCAGGCTGCATGACAGGAGGTCAGCCCTAGGGAGATGCTGCGGTGTGTGGGCCTGCCAGGGACGACACGGCCCATGTCATGATACAGCTTAGACCCTATGCTATGCCAATCACGGGGGTGACTGCAGGCCTTTGATTTGGCTGGAGGAGGGCTGGGAAGCACCAGGTTGGCAGCAGACTGGGAAGCAAACTGCAACTTCTCTCAAACAGTTGGATACAGACACCTTTAACTGAGGCCCCATGAGCAGCGGTCATGAAAGCAGGTACTACTATCCCCACTGCATGGCCCTGAGGCAGGGGCTGCTTCTTGCTGCGTGTGGTGGGGATGGAGAGGTGATGTGGTCACGGTCTGGAAACCTTGGAGGGGAAAAGATTTCTGATAGCAAAGGGCATTTTAATGTAACAGACAAAGGCAGAACAAGATCCCATGGCTGGAGGCTGAAGCTAGACAAATTCAAATGGGAAATAAGACACACATTTTTAACAGTGAGGGTAATTAACCAATGAAACACCTGACCTAGGGCAGTGGTGGATTCTCCATCACTAAGTCTTCAAGCCAAAACTGGATCCCTTTCTATGAGATACTCTCTAGCTCAACCACAAGTTATGGGCTTGACATAGACCACACTGGGTGAAATTTTTGTTGTATGCAGGAGATCAGACTAGTTGAGCCCAATAGTCCATTCTGGCCTGATCACCTATTAATCCATATGTGTACAGCACCCAGCACAAAGGGGCCTGAACTTGGTTGGGATCTCCGAGCACGACTGCAGTACAAATAATAGCCATAGCTCTTGGGGGTAGGGGCGTAGGCCTAAGGCTTGAAATAGGATGGGGCTTTTCCCTTGGCCTCCTGGTCCATGCAGAGCTTAGTTCTGAGGTGGGGTGACCAGATGTCCCGATTTTATAGGGACAGTCCCGATTTTTGGGTCTTTTTCCTTATAGAGACTCCTATTACCCCCCACCCCCGTCCCGATTTTTCATACTTGCTGTCTGGTCACCCTATCCGAGGAAGGGACAAGGAGCACAATTCTCCAAAGTGGGCACTTTAATAGGGGATCCAAATAGATCTCTAAGGTGTCTCTCACCTCAGCATCCAAGCACTAATGAAGAAAGCATCACAGGGGAGCCCAATGTGTTTAGCTGGCGATGATTGGGGGCGGGGGGTAGTGTTTTCCATTGTTGTTATACATTTGATGGGCAGGCCGAGGAACTTTCTAACAAGCATTGCAGCAGGTAAATGCCCACCCTGACACACCTGAGTGACAATCGGAGCCTGCAAACATGAGACTGGAATAGCCCCGTACGCCACTCGCCTTTGGAAATGGACCGCTTGATTCGCTGCCATTTAGCAATTATCTGCGGCAAGAGCAGCCAGCTGCCTCTTCCCCATTTTCTCTCCCTCTCCTGCCAAATGAGTCTTTTTTGAACGGTTTCCTTGGAAACAGACGCTTAGCCCTGTCACCTCTGCCCCCTCCCCTCCTTGCTTTCCAGTGCAGGAGCAGAGCTGTGCTCCAGCATTCTCTGCTCTTGCCTGTGGTCCCTCTCCCTGCTCACATTAAATGAGCGTGGCAAAGACGTGCGTTATTCTTTGGTCGCGTGCCTCAGGAGCTATTTGAAAGATGCTTATGGCACAGGTGCTTCAGCCCAGTGGGTGGCATTTGAGCCTTAGTTAGGCAGCCACCGTTGCAGGTGATTGTTGTTTACCTGCAGTTGTATTTCTCTTCTGGTTCCAGAGGAAGAGTCGGGTTCTGAGGCTGCACAGTAACAAGATCGGCTTCTCCTTGTTCTCATGTCAAACAAATAGTAACCTCGGCCCACCTCCACTCCCCCTCCGCTGACTGTCACGGGACGGTTATTCAGCTGGAGGAGGGAGCCCCAGAGTAGAACTTGCCCTTTCACTACCGTATTTCATTAATAAGACAAAGCAAAATTAACCAATTTGCTACAACACATTAGATGTTACTGTCTACTTCCAGCAACCCGGCAGCTTCTAGCCAATATGTTTCACAGTCCTTAGGAACACCGGAATGGACTGAATAGTGGGATCTGCCTGGACAGCTCAATGACAAATGTTCTTTACCAGAGAAGACTGAGTGATCCACAGAGACATGTGAACCATTGAAAAGGTTCAGAGGTTGGCTTTGGTTGAGATATGCACGCAGACATTCAGATGCTGGCCTGACCTGTATCTGATCTGTTCAGATCTCTTGGGTCTCCAAAACTGGGCTGGATATGAGGAACATAGGAAATGCCAGAGAGGATAAGATCATTTTTCTGGCTAGTTGAGTATCCTGTCTCTGACAGTGGCTGGAACCAGCTGCTTCAGAGGAAGGTGCAATAAACCCTGCGGGGGGCAACTAGAGAAAAACCTGCTCCCAGGAAAAGCTTCCTCAGGACCCCAATCATTGGAGGTTGTTTTATGCCCTGCACTATGAGGGTTTAATATTCCCCCCTTGTTTATTCTTTTAATTTTTTACCATAATTGTGGCTATTCTCCTTATCCAGATTAATGTGCAATCTTTTTTTGAATCCTGCTAAATTCCTGGTCTCAACAATACCTTGTGGCAATGAGTTCCCCAGGCTAATTACGAATTGAGCCTTGCTTAAGGTATTAGACACTTCTGGAGCATGAAAGTTAACTGCCCCTTTCCATTCAGGGCTGAGGTTTGACAAGGGTGATGGTCGTTTTATTGCCCAGTCTCAGACCAAACCACAATTTGGGTGTTTTTCTTTTAAACCAGCACACAGGGGATTCTAAACTTTGGTATCGCTTGGCAAAAGGCCACCCTCCAGGCAATGGCATCCCCCAGATTTAAAGGGAAGAGGGATCAAGTAGATCAAGGAGTCACCAGCACTATGGCATCATCACACCATTCTCAACAAGTACCTTACACCATCCCTGAGCTGAAAGAACCACCTGCCCTTCCCAGTGCCAGCTCCACAATCCAAAACACTGACTGGGACACATCCCGCACTGGCAGCAGGTCAAGGGCCTGATTGCATGGTTTAAAAAAAAAAGAGAGGGCTAGACACCTCCAAGAGGGCCTGACATCAGTCCCGTATCTCCTTGTAGTCCTTATTCACTGTGGAGAAGCGTATCAGGCGCACCTCAGGCGGCTTGGGCTTGGTGTCATCCCACACGTACTCCGGAGAGAGGAGCTTTGAGGGCTTGTGGGAAAAGAAGCGCTTGTTGAGGTGGCTCTCCTCCTGCCAGGCCGCCATGATCCCATTGGCTTTGTCTGCCAGGATGGTCATGTGGCAGGCCCTGGTGAACTCGTACACCTGCTTGAGCAGCCCGCCGAAGACGGCCCCTGCATAGTAGAAGTCCCCCTGGCTGTCAGGGATGAAGGCAGCGGAAGAGCTCCTCCTCTCATAAGGGAACTGGCTGCGAGGGACGTTGTAGTACCCAGGGTGTATGGCCGCTACCATCTCGCCCAGAGTCTCCACCCCCCATGGGTTGTGAAACACCATGTCGATGTCCAGGCAGAAGAGGTAGTTCACCTCCCGATGGCTCACCTCTGCGATGTGCCTGTTTATCGCCTCCATCCTGCGCATGGAAATCTCCTGCCAGTGAGAGTATTTTTTGATGGGGACGATGCTGAGACTCCGGCCGGGCTGCAGCTGGACTCTGGGGATCACCTGGGGGTCGTTGGTGAAGATGTAGTAGTTCACCCGATAGCCCTTCATGAAAAGCTTCTCCGCCGACTCCACGAAGCGGCCCACAAACATGGTGTACCTGTGCAGACACAAAGGCATTGATGAATAGCACCATAGGGCAGAGGGGCCATGGCCCAGGTTTATTAGACAGTCTGATGTGGTAGGAAGAGTTTTGCCTAGATACTGCTATAACGATGGGCACGTTACAAGTGCAATGGGTTGGAATAGCACTACTTTAGCTGAGGGCAGAGAGACAATAAAGAACATGCGTTGGCCAGTCAACTACCTGAAGTGAACTAGAAATCCCACATGTCCCAGCTCTTGCTATTCTTACAGAGAATCTGGGATAGGCTTTTAAAATTGCTGACTGTGCTTCTCTGTGGCCTTACAGCCTGTGTGGCCATTTAGGGTATGTCTACACTACAGTCAGACGTGTGACTGCCACATGTGTAGACATACATGAGCAAGCTTTAATCTAGCTAGCTCAGGTCCCAACAGCAGCAAAGCTGCGGCAGCACGGGCTGCAGCATGCACTCGCCAGCCAAGAAGCCAACTACAGCCCGTGCTCCACAGCTTCACTGCTATTAGCACCCGAGCTAGCCTGACTAAAGCTAGCTCGGGTGTGTCTACACATACTGCAAGTGCACCTCCATTGCACTGTACACATCATCAATCTGATCTGTGGGGCTGTAAATGATCGTATGGGGCAGAGGTGACACACGCTCCTGGCTTAGAGCATGCAGCAGGTCTTTCCATCACAGAAGGGGTCTCTTCTCAGACTGTCTAATGATCACCCGCATGGTTCCAGTTTGGCAGATGGGGGAAGTCACTGGGGAGTCATTTGACTTACACTCAGCACCAAAACCACACGTTTAATTTAAAGCCTGCGTGACATTGCATCTGATGTTCCTGGGATTCTCTAAAATTGGGGGTTGATGGCTGACAAGGTAGGTTATTGCACACCAGCCTCTGGAGATGATCAAGTCTGAGTAGGGTGACCAGACTCCTGGCTCTGTCACTAGCCTGCTGGGTGACCTTGGGCAAGTCATTTCCCCACGCTATGCCTCAGTTTATCCATCTGTAAAATGGGGCTAATGGCATAAAGTCCTTTGTGATCTACTGATGACAACTGTGATAGAAGAGCTAGGTATTACTATGATGATGATGCCCATTTCTAGCTGAGTCCACCAGTCCAGGCTCTAGCCAGTGCCACTGCTACCAACAGGCTACAAGGCCCTTACTTTTATGAAGGGGAAACTTGAGCCTGCATAAAAGGTTGTTCCTGACCGTGTTAGTCTGCTCTCTCTTCCCTGAACAACTCCTTTAATTCCACCCTCTTGGTCTCACTGCTCCACACCCGCAGGGCACCAATCTATGGCAGGACCAATGCTGGGGACAATGCTGGCTGGGAGGAGCCTTTTGCCTCACGAACCAGAGCCTTTGGGCGACACTTACTTGCCAATGGCAAAGGCTGTCACCCCTATGGTGAGGTTCAATGGCTTGTAGGCACTGTCCAGGAGTTCGGAATTGAAAGTTCCTTCCCAAACAATGGGGGCCAGCCAAGGCGTGAGAGTCAGCACATCCAGGCGCCTGAAGGAAGAAGAGAAGGGCGGTAAACAAAAGGAAACAGTCCCCTTTGGTCTGAGCCCAGTATAGCCGTGAAAGAGATGCTGGATAATGCATGTGTGAAGTCAATAGTTAACCCTTCAAGTTCCACTGTACATGAAACGTGCCAGTCTCACCCATTGTGAGTTTTCCCTCACAACAGCCTGGAGGCTTCATAACTAAGGCTATGTTTTAGTCACGGGTATTTTTAGTAAAAGTCATGGACAGGGAGCCTTCCCCCTCCCCCCAAGTAACCACTGCCCTGAACCCCCAACCCTGAGCCCCCTCCCACACCTAAACTGCTGCTGCTTCTGGCCCAGGGGCTGCCTGAGTATTCGGGCAGCCAGCCACACTGGCTGCTGCAAAAGTCACGGAAAGTCACGGAATCCATGACTTCTGTGACGGAGACGCAGCCTTATTCATGACTGTATGAGTCTCTCCAGCTATTTCCATCACCTCATTGCATGAGGACTCAGAGCAGGCTACATCAGGCTTTGAATTTCTGCTCCTAGGGCGAAATCCAGTCCTATACAGAGGGGCCAGCAAAAGGTCCATACTCCACTTATGTTGTACGTAAGTCCATGGGATCTCTGCACAGGGCCACCGAACTCCATACAGGGGGAGGCCACGCATACCCTCCTTATATTTGTTGCAGGCCTTATATGGGTTGCTGCATATGGATTTAAAATATATGTAAAATTATTAAAATTAAACAAAACGGCCCCGTTGCCATGGTTATGAAAAGACAATCTGGTGTGGCACTGTATTATCCCAGCCTGGAAATGTAGTTTTCATATGTCGGATCATAGCTAATGTTTTTATATCTGGCCCAGCATTCAGACATGCAACAAAGCTACGTGAAATCCATACCCTCTTCCACCTGGGCAGCATAAGCATCTCATGCACATGTAACAGAGGCCTGTTACTCCTGACTGCAGTAGTTCATTTACATTTTATCCTTCTTCCTATACTAAGGGCTGTTTGCAAAGGCTCTGGAGTGTTTAATGAGACATGTTTTATGATGCTGGCCTGGCCCTGGCCCGCCAGAATCTTCTCCAGACTATGCCCCACAGCTATTTGTTGCCGAGACTTAACAGAAGCCTTGTTTGGCCATGTTTTGGGACTATGCCAATATGCAGCTGTCTTCCCAACCCCACCTTCCAGCCCAGATCCCCTAAGGCCACAGAGGGAATGTCAGCTGGGTTCAAGGAACCAGGGGAATAGCTTGGTGGCCTGTGTTTTACATTGACTCCGCTGCAGCTGAACTACAGTCTGACTGGACACAATGTTTGAGGAGCCTTGAGGGTGACTTCCTTGTACGTTATGGGAGTCTAAGGCTATCGAGACAAAAATCAAGTCAGGAACTGATGGGGGCGAAAGAATAGAATTTGGTTTTGTATGTAGAAAACACATTAATTGAATCAAGATCTTCTCTTTCCAGATCAGTTACCAGCAGTCTTATTTTTGGACACCCTGGGAGTAAGTTTATCCCTTGTATCACATTTTCTTTTGTTACAAAGGGCTTCACTGGATCTCTCTGGGTGACTCATTCTCCATGGTATTTATACACCCAGGGTAGCATGTGTAACCACTAATTAGCTCCCCTCCCCCCTCGGAAACATTTCACACCTAAAGCTGCTATAAAATACAATGGGCCAGATTCTCCTCTCACTTACACCAATATAACTCCATTGACTTCACTGCAGTCACTCTCAATTTACACCAGCATGAGTGAGAGGAGAATTAGGCCCAATGTATCCTAGCAAAACAGCAATTGGGATGCAAACATGGATGGATACACACAAACACACATTAAAATGGTGTCTAATGAAGGGAACTTGTTAGGAGCGTCAGACACACTGCTCCGGTTGGGCCTACTCCTGCAGAGGGGAAGCCAGGGGGAGATTAGTGACTGCACTTTTCCATCTGGTAAGTCATCACTCTGGAAATGCACTGCAAGGATCCTTCCAAATCCTAATGATGTACCCAAAGGGAATTGAAACTTCCTCTCTTGGGGTTTTATACTGTTGCCCATCACTGTAGCATCTGAGCACCTAACTAGTCATTCCTCATTGGCTAATGGGGGAGGATTAAAAGAGAATGGGGCCAAAGACACCAAACACCAAACTACTTGGAAAATCATGCATCAGCCTGGGGATGAAACACAGCCATCCATTCGTCGTCATGAGGCTGTATTCTGTTACCGTGACTCATGTTGAGTAGTATCTTGCTCCACAAGTAGCCTCATTAACTTCAATTAGCCTACTTATATATTCAGTGCGATTAAGGGTATTACAACCGACCCATCATCTTAAAGGGTCCGATCCCGAGAGACCCCCCGAGCACCCCAAATTGAGGTCAGTGGTGCTACTCGCATCAGGGGGTGTGGGGGTCGCAGAATCAGGCTGTCCTGGGAGGAAACTTACTTCTGATCCAGTGATCTGGGCTGAGGATAAGATAGCCTGCAGAGGAGAACAAAAACCCACTGAATAACGGAGGATTAGGCCTGGAGGAGAGGAAAAGCATTTCAAAGGGGAGACGTTACAAAGATTGGTGCTTACTCGGGGAAAAGCTGGGCGGGCTTCTTTTCTGCATATTGTAGTTTCATGGAGCTGCACGAGAAGAAGGAAAGAGGGAAAGGTCTGTACATTCTCCTTGACACGACAGGGCAGGTCAGCTTCAGGATCGGTCCTTGCACCAAATACTCATCAAAGCACAGGCCCTGGTTGCTCCTACCCCCCCCACTGCATTGCCTGGTGGTGGGCTGTGCGCATTGCCTCCCTAGGTAAAGCTTCAAGAGCAGTTAGAGAAACCACTCCTTTAAAATGGCACCTTGCTACACAACCCCATGGGGTGGGAGAGACGGGGGGCTTTCAGGGAGTCCTGTACAGCTCCCAGATTCTCTGGGGAAATCAGGAGAAGGCTAGAGCCTCAGGGCAATAAGCCAATGGAATAGAGGCTAGCAAGGGACTGTCAGAGTGCACTGCACATCGCTGGCTCTGTACCCACTGGGGCACCCCCCACTACTGGAGGAATTTTCACCTGGGGAGAGACGGGGTTTGTGATGTAAAGGGAGGCGAGTTGGGCCAGGGAATCCGAGCCTGACTCACGTGCAGTCACACGTACACAAGCGTTCCCCCTGAAGCCCCCTTGGAACGCTAGCGGAAGTGCTACTCAGCACTTCCCATCTGCTGACCAAAGGACATTTGTCCTCCTCTTAGCCCTGCAGCACCAGGAGAGCGAGTACCGGCTTCTCCTCTGCACCAACAACACTACGGGACACCAAAGTTCCAGTTCTTCATTACTGGCGAGAACTTAAGGGGCACGAAGAATCCCGCTTCGTTTACAGATCCCAGCAGCACCAGGCAGCTACACAAAATCAAAGCTAAATTCTAACCTGTAATGGAGGGAAGACAAAACAGAAAACTATAGATTCTGATCAGTGCTGACTCTAGCTCCGACTCGGACTGTCGAGGCGCTGCAGGAGAATTCCACTGGCCACAGGAGCAGCAGAGGGCCGATATAGACAGCCCTCCACTACCCCCCGCCCCACTGCAGGCTCTGTCATAGGAAGCAGGCATGGGGCACGCCCAGAGCATGCAGGCCACAGACAGCCATGGGGAGGCTTCGAGACCCCAGAGCTGCTCTAACTTATGTCAGGGGCATCCTGGCCCCTGCAGCTGCCCAGAACGAGGGTGCACGAGGGCAGCTTATAGCCACCTTTACCCTGCCCTCTCCCCCACAGGTGCTATGCTCTAGATCGGGGTCGGCAACCTTTCAGAAGTGGGGTGCCGAGTCTTCATTTATTCACCCCAATTTAAGGTTCCGCGTGCCAGTAATACATTTGAACGTTTTTAGAAGGTCTCTTTCTATAAGTCTGTCATAGATAACTAAACTATTGGTGTATGTAAAGTAAATAAGGTTTTTAAAATGTTTAAGAAGCTTCATTTAAAATTAAATTAAAATGCCGAGCCCCCCGGACCGTTGGCCCGGACCTGGGCAGCGTGAGTGCCACTGAAAATCAGCTGGCGTGCCGCCTTCGGCCCGCCTGCCTACCCCCGCTCTAGACCCCTCAGGAGAGGCAGCAGAGAACCTGCCCCTATATTTCTGAGAACTGATGGATCACTGCCTAACTGCATCTGCCCTGGGCTAGCACAGCTTTCATTGTCATGTGGTCAGCACCTTGCATTGCTGCAGCCAGCATCAAACCTATTTACAAAGCAGCCTGGGGTGATTTCCAGCATCACGAAGCCACAGATTCACAGCCTACTTGGATTTCATTACCTGACGGCTTACCCAAAATGCCCTCGGTTTGATTTCCTTTCACCACCCGCGGCACTAGATTTGTTTAAAGGTAACATGGGCAGATGCTGAGCTCACGCAGCAGGTTGGCACTGTTTGTAGCCATTCAGAACTGCTTGATTTCGTACACTCTGTCTCCCAAATTGCTTTACAGAGCCAAATAACATGGTTATGGCGTGTAAAACAAAAAAATACCAGAGGGAGATGGGGAACTACAGGCGAGGGAGCGGCAGAGTGATTGCACACAGCTCTCTGTGCCTTTATTAAACTATGAACACATGACCTGTTAAAGAAGGAAGAGGGAAGGGAGCTAGTCCATCAGCTGGAACAGATCCCAGTATAAAATGGCTTGCAGAGGCGTATACATCTTAATGGACAGTGAATGTTTCAAGCTGGGTGTATTGAGAAGCAACCTGAAATGTCTAGATTCTTATTCTCTCTACAGAATGTAGTGTTTCCCATTTCTAAGTAATGGGATCTTCAACAAGAACAATAGACGGTGACATGGGGTGGGGAATGATATTGTCTAAGGCCACTGACTAAGGACAGAAGGCCACTATGGTCCTACGGTTACTTAGATGTAAGGCCCAGCTTCACAAAGGTATTTAGGCTCCTAACTCGCATTGAAATCAATGGAAGTAAGTGGCCTAACTACCAGTGAGGATCTGGGCCTAAGCTCTTTAGGACAGGGGCCATCTTTTTGTTCTGTGTTCGTACAGCACCTAGCACAATGGGGTCCTGCTCCAAGACTAGGACTCCTAAGCACTGCAGCAATATAGATAATAAATAATAATAATCCAGTTGGCAGAGAAGAGGACCAGGAACTAGATGATCTCAGTTCTAGTCCCAGCTCTGCCAAGACTCAGTGTGTGACTTTAGGTAAATCCTCATTTCAGCTCTGTCTCAGACAGGATACTTACAAGATATCTGGGCAAGGAAGGTAGTATGGAAGGTAGTGGACTGGCCCATTCCAGACTGTCATCCTGCAAGTAACAGGAGAAATCATTAAAAGATAGGAAGACATTTTCCAGCACTTGACAGGATTTTCAAAGGTTTTCTCAGAATCCTGCACAGAGACTGAGAAGGCCTGCTAGGTTATCTAGCCAATTCACCAGCTGATGCAGAGGACAGGGATATACCCCAAATTATATTTGGACTATAATTTACTGCGGTTCAGATGTGAAAGGGCATCATGAACGGCTGATGTCCAGTAGGATCCAGCTTTAACATAAGGGATAAGTATTATTATTATTTACATCAAAGTGTTTTACAGACTGCAAACCATTTAAATATATAGGGCTCCCTTCCCCACTGGTGACATACAGCCCCCTCCGGAATGGTGCATGACAGCCATTATACCAGGGCCAGAAATACCTGCAAAGTATAAATAGTAATAATAAAAATACCTAGTCTCCCTCCAAGTGATTTGTGATGCATCACTAGCAGTGTTTACCTGTGAGCATTCCTAGAGTCTGTCAGTGGGAAAGTAAGGCCAGCAGTAGATACTTACCAGACAAATATGGGAATGAGGATTAGGCAGAGTATGAGAACAGATTTCACCACTTTCCAGCAAGTCATGTCTCCTAAAGTGGAGCAAAAAAAAAAAAAAGACAAATTTCCATTCCCAGCAGCTCTCAGTTGGCCATGGACAAAAGATTAGGCACTGGTCTTCAAACCGGGTATAGAGCTCCCACAGCAAGGGACATACAGGGAAGCACGAAATGCTCGACAGCTCATTTTATCTCACAGTTCTAATTCATCCTCTCTGAGGCCAGGCATCTAGCAGGGATTGGACTGCAACAGACTGAGAGTCCAGCTAGTCTCTACAGCAGTCTTCCCAAGCTGCATCAGAGAAACCTCACTATGGCCACAATGCCCCGGCTAATTATACTGTAATAGACTATTGTGGCCACATCCACTCTAATTGAATTGGCCTCGTTAGCACTGACTCCCCACTTGGTAAGGCAACTCCCATCTTTTCATGTGCTGTATATTTATATATAAGGTCCTCTAAGATGCCACAAGGCCTCCTCGTTTTTCCTGATCCTGGCTCATTTGCTTATGTCCCGAAGCCTGAGGGTTGATAGCGCTCCTAATTTTATCCGAACCTGCATGAAGCCACTTGTTCAGATAAAGCTCGAATCTCTTTTTGAGGCTTAGTAAGCAGCTGGACTCAGTGATATCAGAGGGTAGGTACAGCTAATGTAGTCATCACTGTAGAATGTAGACACCAACTTCCACGGGCCCATAACTGCCCCTGGCAGAAAGATCCCAGCACAGGTGCATAGGAGATGAAGGCAAATTGGGGTCTGCCATAGTCAAGGTAACACCCTGTAATATGGAACAGATGAGAGCTGTAATACACACTAGATAATAATGGATCTCTAATGTCTCTGTAGCCCTGACACAACCCTGAGTCACTCCTTAATCAGCTGGAAGGTCTGATCTGAGGCAACACAAGGCACTTCCCTCCTGGCTTAGCAGCCCAGCATGCTGCTATCTGTCTCCTAGAACTGGAAGGGACCTTGAAAGGTCATCGAGTCCAGCCCCCTACCTTCACTAGCAGGACCAAGTACTGATTTTGCCCCAGATCCTTAAGTGGCTCCCTCAAGGATTGAACTCACAACCCTGGGTTTAGCAGGCCAATGCTCAAACCACTGAGCTATCCCTCCCCCGTGGCTGCCCCAGACAATCAACCTTTTAAATCGCCCGGGCCCCTGAGCAATTGCCCCCTTTGCCCTCTCCCCCAGCACCCCCTGCCGGCAGGCCTGTAGACAGGACTTCAGTGTGCTGTCCCCCTCTATTAGACAGTGTGCACCCTGTGAGCATTGGCAGTTCTTTAACATGGGTGCCAGGTTTATACAATTGTGTGTGAGGCCCAGAGATCAGGGACATAGACCCCAGCAGGAATGTAAGGGGCGGAGCCCCCTCAAGTCTGGTCCACACAAACTGGATCAAACAGTGGTGTTAAACCTGGCTACAGTCCTGGCCTGGTGGGTGGGTGGGTAAGCGACCCCTGCTCACACCCGGGATCTGGTAGAAATGTGGATGGGACCGAAGTGGTTCCTTTAAAACAGCACCCATGTTTCAAAGAGGATGCCTCATGCAGACAGACGTGAACCCTGCAGCTCCCTGTCCCCACCCCCCGTCAGTTCTCTTTCAGGGTGACAGAGCGGCAAATATAGCAGCAAACTCCTCCTTCTCTGGAAGAACCCTGCCACTGGGGCCCCAAAGGAGCCAGCAGCCCTAACCAGGCCCACATTACAGATCTGCCCCCAAGAGTACCATATGCTGGGACTCGCGGCGTTCGGCTCCATCTGCTGCACCATCCCCAGGTGGGCTCTGGCAACCCCATCCCAAGACATTCCTCTGGGTGTCAATCCAAACACCCTACAGTGCAGGTTAGGGTTGCCAACTTTCTAATGGCACAAAACGAACACCCCTGCCCTGCCCCCTGTCCTGAGACCCCCACCCCTTCTCTGAGGCCCCATCATCACTCGCTCCATCCCCCATCTCTCTGTCGCTCGCTCTCCCCAACCCTCACTCACTTTCACTGGGCTGGGGCAGGGGGTTTGGGGTCCGGGGTCCTGGCAGTGCTTACTGCAACTCCCAGGAAGCAGCCGCCAGGTCCCTGCAGCCCCCTGGCCACTGGGAGCTGCGGAGCCGGCACTCAGGACTGGGTAGCATGTGGAGCCTCCCTGGTCGCCCATGTGCCTCGGGGCTGCAGAGACCTGGTGGCCACTTCCGGGAGCCGCGCGGACCTAGGACAGGCAGGGAGCCTGCCTTAGCCCTGCTGTGTCGCTGAGCAGACTTTTAACGGCCTGGTCTGTGGTGCCAACCAGACCCACCGGGGTCCCTTTTCGGCCGGGCATTCCGGTTGAACACCGGACGCCTGCCAACACTAGTTAGTGCAGGTGGAACTGCACCAAGTCACAGGGTGGAGAGTTCCCATCATGCAGCTGGGAGAAGCGGGGGATGCAAGACATGGGGGAACAATGGTGGGATAATACAGGGGGACTAGAGTCTGGACATGGGGTAGGGATGGGGACCGGGGGGAGACCAGGACACAGAGGACAGATAGGGTGGGGTTCAGGATGTAGTGAGGGGCAAATGGGGTAGGGAGAGACTAGGACACGGAGGCTAGGAAAACGGGGCAGAGAGCAGATCATGGGGCAGATGGGGTGGGGGAATAGGACATAGGGGGTAGATGGGGCAGGACACTAGAGAAAGCACTATGGAGGGACCATCTCAAAGTGCTTTAACGAACTGTTAAAGTGCATCAGCAGGGGGCACACAGACAACTAGTGCCCGGTGGGTCAGATCTCAACTTGCTGATGAATCTGCTGCCCCAGACAGCTGCCTAGCTTGCCTATGCCCAGAGTGGCCTCTGCTGGGGACTGACCATGGAGCTGCCCCTTAGCTGTAAACAGTGCTTGGATATCACCTGCCCACACAGCACTGGAGAATGTACAACGGGGATCCATCCTGCACGGGACCAGGGGAGAGTGGACGATGCACTAGATGCACTCCTCAGTATCTGACCATTTCTAATTTCACTCCTACAAGATGGGGAGCAGAAAGCAGTTGAAGTTTCTTTATTATCATACACACATTTCTATGGTGCCCATCTCCATAGTATCCTGACAGGAGGAGTTAGCGCTTGCCAAGAAATGGCACCAATTCCCAATAAAGAAAAATCAGGGCATCCTGACATTTAAAATCCTAATAGATTCACGTTTGGCAATTCCGGACGCTTACCTGAGTGTTCTGCAGATCCCCAAGTAGGAACTAAACCAGCTTTTCTATCAGCCCTTCCCTTCTGGCTGTTCTCTTGTGCTCAGACCTGCCTCTCCTGATTACAGTGGTAACAGAGCACGGAGTGCTGCTGCATTGCAGCCGCGGTTGTTTCCGGGGACTGCATTGCAGCCAAGGTGTCTAGAGGGGGAATAACAACTACCCACCAAGGGTAAACACTCAGCCCAGGATTAGTCTTGGCATAAGACGTCTCATCTCCAGAGCAACAATTTTCAGCCTGTTCCATGTTTTAATGTCGTGCTGGGAAACGATGACGGCCCGACAGCCCTGGAGAATGACGCACTATATTTATCCAGGGCCTACCCAGTGCAAAGATTTTTTCTGTAGCCTCATTAAGCTACTGGAGGACGGGAGCAGAGGGAGGGTGGCAAAGGCACGCAGCAGGCAGTCACAGAGCATAGGCAAAGCTGCTGGGTACAAAGATTGAACACGTGTTTTTTTAAATGGTTATAGCGCTAGGTTTTTGGCTGGTTCTTATGTAGCCAGGCAGGGGAGTAGGGGAGCATGGCTGGGCAAGACCTGCTTGGATTGTAGCTCCAGGTTTGCTGGTAGGGAGCTCGGGGAGAGGGGGAGGAAGCAAGGACTGTGTGCACTGCCTCCCTCCAAAAATAGGCAGCTGTGCATACAGGGGCAGAACAATACCTCCCCAGGCCCATTCACAGAGCTGGCTGGAGCTGGGGGCTGGAGAAGTTGTAGCAGACGGTTTACCTCCCTGCCCCAGTGCAAGAGGCGAGCACTAGGGGATTTATGCCTAACTGGGGTGTCTTTGAAGCTATTTCTGGGGCAGTGCAGTTTGCAGGCCAGCTCTTGCTCAGGCCAGCCCATAACGACAACAGCAGGGCCCAATCCTGCAAACACTACAGAGCATAATGCTCAGCATTGCCAGGAGTCCAGTGCAGTGTTGCCAACTCGTGCGATTTTATGACGAGTCTTGTGTTTTTCTGCAAGCCTCAGCTCCTGGAGTCCTGTGATGAGGTGAGAATCTCAGCTTGCATGTTTTTAAAAAAGTAAGCTGTCTCTCTTGATTGCAAAGAAAGCTTGAAAACATGACTCCCCTAAGGGCTCCAAGACTAGAAGGCAAATCAAAAGCCCCAAAAAGATTTATTTTTGAGCCAATCTAATGATTTTTGCAGCGGTCTAACTCATGATTTTTGAAACTTCATGGCTGGCAACATTGCAAGGAAATATTCCTGCAGTAAGGTACTACTCAGTGAATGTGGGCAGGAGGGGCCCAGTCAGGCTCTTAGATAGTACAACCAAAAGGCACTGAATCATAGAACTGGAAGGGACCTCGAGAAGTCATCTAGTCCAGTCCCCTGCACTCAAGACAGGACTAAGTATTATCTAGACCATCCCTGAAAGGTGTTTGTCCAACCTGCTCTGAAAAATCCCCAATGATGGAGATTCCACAACCTCCCTAGGCAATTTATTCCAGTGCTTAACCACTCTGACAGTTAGGAAGACAACAAACTAAAGGGAAACCCAGCTGTTGCCACCAACTAAGTGAAAAACACGCACAGACTTTTTAAGACACAAAACCAATCAGGTTCTTAAAAAAGGTAAATTTTATTTAAAAAAAGAAGAACGGAAACACATCTGGAAAATCAGGCTATTGCTAGATTTTACAGAGCAACTGAAAAGGGGTTAAACACCAGGCCTGGCTCCCTGGGGTCCAGCTTAATGTTACAAAAGAAAACAAAAATACCTGAGCTTAGCACAGAGGAAGTCCACAAGCCAAAATAAAGAAATAAACCTGATCGCGTCTATCTAAACATTCCCTGTCCCAATGAATCCTTCTAGGTAAGGAAGATGATTTTTCATACCTGATCCAAACTTTACACAGCATTCCTGCTGCCCCATCTCTTCAGCCAAGAGAGAACAACAGAGAGACAAAGGGAAAGCTTTTTTCCCCCATTTTAAAAAGCTCTATCCTTCCCATTATCTCTTTTGGTCAGGTGTCCACTCCCTTTCCTTTACCTGGGGGACTTTTTTTTTTAACCCTTTACAGGTAAGGCAAGCAAAGAACAGACACCAAGAGGGACTTTATAGCTAACTGGCTGGCTGGGTGTCCATAAAAGGGAGCTACCCCCCAATTCATTTATCACAACTGTGAACCACTGATAACTACTCTCTGGGAACGATTTTCCAACCAGTTATGCACCCATCTTATAATAGCTCCATCTAGGTTGTATTTCCCTAGTTTGTTTATGAGAAGGTCATGCAAGACAGTATCAAAAGATATACCACATCTACTGCTTCCCCCCTATCCACAAGGCTTGTTACCCTGTCAAAGAAAGCTATCAGGTTGGTTTGACATGATCTGTTCTTGCTTAATTATTTGCTCCATTATCTTCCGGGGAACAGAAGTTAAGCTGACTGGTCTGTAATTCCCTGGGTTGTCCTTATTTCCCTTTTTATAGATTGGCACTATATTTGCCCTTTTCTAGTCTTCTGGAATGTCTCCCGTCTTCCATGACTTTTCAAAGATAATTGCTAATGGCTCAGATATCTCCTCAGTCAGCTCCTTGAGTATTCTAGAATGCATTTCATCAGGCCCTGGTGATTCGAAGACATCTAACTCGTCTAAGTAATTTTTGACTTGACTGAAACGACCATGTTTCATACTAACAGAGATGACTTGCACTTATTGGAGTGACTCTGATGAAAATGCCCTTCTGACGCTCTGAGTGCTGTGTATAATTCTCATAACACATAGCACTGGATGGACCAGAGAGGCCTTCCCGCCCATCCACTCCAAAGCCTTATGATGAGCTCTAAGGGCACATGGTGCTTTCCATTAGACAAAGTCTGCTAACCAAAAAGGTGACCTTCCCCACAAATAAGGTCACCCTACAGTTAAGGCACAAGTGGCTATGAGACAGAACAATACAGCACAGGCCAACCAGCCTGTGGTTTGATCACGGGAGCTTGGATGGGTCACAGAACCTGCGGGGTTCCAGGAGCTTGTAGCAGGCAGGAAGTAGTGGGCTGCTTAGCAGCAGTTAACCAGGCGGCATGGAAGAAGGGACGAGAGAGAGAGAGAAAGAAGGAGGGCAGCGCTGGAGATAAGCAGGGGCACAGTCAGGAGGTGCTTTGAAGATTAGCAGTCTGGACTCTTTGCAGAGAAAAAGGGGAAGCCACATCAGAGGCCATGTGGTCAGAGCAGCGGAACAGGAAGACACTGCGAGGCTGGTTTGGAGCCCAGTCCTCAGCACCTTCAACTCCAGTGACATTGATGGATAAAAGATTAGGAGGAGGCCTTTCAAACTCGTGTGTCCATGTGGTGTTTTCACAGGACCGTTGCTAGAATCCCACGACTATTAGATTTATGCTGTGCAACAGTGGGCATTCTCGCGGCTCACTGCGGCCTAAACTAAACTCCTGACCCCTGTGAAATCAGTGGCAATGGTCCCATTAACTTCACTGGGGGCTGGGACATCACTCCTGCAGTCTACAGTCCCGCACAGTCTCCCCACAACTCAGTCACCAGGAATTACTCAGCTCACCACCTTCTTTCCATGCAAGGTGTGCGCACCACAGGCCATATGACCTCCACACACAATGCCCTGCCAAGGCACCTCTGCCCATACAGCCTTGGCCTCTCTGCTGTGGGGAGGGCAATGGGAGGAAGTTCACGGTGATTGTGGTGGTAGCTTTTCTGAGGTGTCCACTGGCCCACTGGGAATTAGACTGACACCCCACCAAACTCAAAAGCCAATCTATAAGCTTTATACAGAGTAAAATGGATTTATTTGGGGGTTGGATCCCATTGGGAACTGGGTGCTGGACACAGGTAACTGACTGAGCTGTTTTCAGTTAAGTCTGCAGCTTTGGGGGTGTGGACCGGACCCAGGGTCTGTGTTGCAGCAGGCTAGCATGTCTGGCTCAACAAGGCAGGGTTCTGGAGTCCCAAGTTGGCAGGGAAAATGGGCTCAGAGGTAATCTCAGCATGTCAGGTGACAGTCCCAAGGCGGTCTCTGTGACCGAACCCGTCACACCCACCTGCCCGCTGGGAATTAGACTGACGCCCCCCCAACTCAAAAGCCAAACTGGACAGGGTTTGAAGCAGTGAGTTGAAGACAGAAGGCTCCATATCGCCCTCCCATTCCGCTCAGTCATCCACTCCCTCATAGCCTGTGTTTAATTCATTGCAAATAAAGCCCAGGAAGCATCTGCTCAACTGATTCAATGGCAATTTTATGTGGAGAATTTAACTTAGGAAGTGTAAGGCAGGCTGTCAGACATAGGTATTTCTACTGTGCCCCTCACCAGAGCATCTAGAGGAGACAGCTACCGTAAGTCTCACTAGCTGAATTAATGTACTGTGAAAAATGCATGTAGTTGTGTGTGCTGTGAATATTTAAGCTCAGATTTAACTAATTTTTTTAGTAAACACCACACACCTCTAAAATATCTCTTTATGAAATAAATCCCTACACTTTCCCTTGAAAGAGTCCATACATAGCAACACAATGAGTTCATTGGGCCAGGTTCCCAGCTCAGTTTTACTCTGAATCTGGAGTAACTTCATTCAGTGGCGTTCCTTCGGATTTACACTGGAATAAGCAGAGTTCAGAATCTGGTCCATTGTGTGTGAAACATTCACCATCCTGGTCATATACCCGTTCATCCCGTTAGGGCCAAAGGGCAGCAAAACTCAATGCCAAAGAAAGTGAAACCAAGCCCGGGAAAGATATAATTAATGCACTATTCCACGCCAGCCTCCAAAATGACAGAAAAATAGCGAACAACTCTTTCATACTTACTCAGGTTCCACAAAGGCTTTGCTTCAAGTGGATACTGCCGTGCTTTACTTTACTTCTGGTAAACTAACTTGTATGTACGTCCAGACGAAAATGATCCATCCGCCCCACCCCTTCCACGCTAAAAAATGTTCTGGTCTCACATAAACACCTGGTTTTGATTACTTTCCATGAACGATTTTCTTCGCAGAACAAGTCCTTCGGGTTTCTGAAAGCTGTGATTAAATAAGGTTCAAGTTACAACATCGTCTGACAAACGACAGACTCGGATATCATGAGGCTATTTTCACTTCTGCTGAAGGGCAGTTTGCTCACTGGACTCCCCCCCTTTAAATATAGTCCCATTATCTATTGGATCCCCAAAATCATGCCCTGGCATGAGCAAATCCAATCTTCCCAGTTATAAGAGCTAATTTTATGGTCTCAGATCCAGTATCTGGCTTCAGACAGACTTTTCTGTGCTTCTCACCACAATCAGTAACAAAATGAGTGAACCTTGTTCTGGCTTGAGCCACTGCTGCCTGGTAGGGCCCAGGGAGGGAGCGCCACCTCCACCCCCTCACTCACCTCAGCAGGCTGCCCAGCCTGTCTGGGAGGGCGCAACCAAAAATTATAACTTAAAAGTGGGGGGCTTAGCCCCTCAAAAATTGAAAACAGCTCAGTGTGCAGGGACAGGGTCACTAGAGGCTGTGTGAGGGCGGGGGTAGTTCAGGGTGAAGGTAGGGAGTTGCTAGGGGCTGTGTGCAGGCAGGGGTGTCGCTCAGGGTGTAGGGAGGAGGGGAGTAGCTGGGGCTGTGTGTGGGCAGGGTGTAGCTCCGGGTGCCAGGAGGGGGTACTAGGGGCTGTGTGCAGGCAGGGGATAGCTCAGAGTGCAGGAGGGGGGTAGCTGGGGCTGTGTGCAGACAGGGGGGTAGTTCAGAGAGGAGGGAGGGGGTAGCTGGGGCTGTATGTGGGAAGGGAGGTAGCTCAGGGAGCGGGTAATAGGGGCTGTCTGCAGGCAGATGATAGCTCAGGGTGCAGGGAAGGAGTAGCTGGCACTGTATGCAGGCAGGGGGGTAGCTCAGGACACAGGGAGAGGGGCGCTAGGAGCTGTGTGCGGGCAGGGTGGAGCTCAGGGAGGAGGGGGATAGCTGGGGCTGTGTGCAGGAAGGGGGGTAGCTCAGGGTGCAGGGAGGAGGGGAGTAGCTGGGGCTGTGTGTGGGCAGGGGGTAGTTCAGGGTACCGGGAGGGCGTAGCTCAGGGGGCAGGGAGAGAGGTATTAGGGGCTGTGCGCTGGGAGGACTCCCCAGCGGCCCCTGTTCCCGGAAGGCTCTGCCAGCCACAGAACCGGGTCTCCCCAAACAGAGGGCTCTTACCAGCTGCCTCTGTGGGAGCAAAGGGGGCTGGGAGCTGAGGAGCAGCTTCAACCCAGGGCACCAGCAGGAGAGGCAGGAACGCTGCGGCTGCCTGCTCCATGGCACCATCTAGAGCAGCAGCTGCCCCACACTGCCCGGCTCCGGCTCCCCACCTCGGACCTGGCCAGGGGCGGGGAGAGGAGTGGGGGTGGAGCTGCTCCCAGAACTGCCGGGATCTTGCGCTGCGCGGGGGGGGCAATGTCCTCCATATCCCCAACTCTGCCCATGAGCTCAGGGATTCTGCCCCACAGGGAGCACCATGGCTTGGGGCTCCGGGATTCAGCCCCATGCCTCCCCCAGCTTCAGTCCCGCAGGAGCGCCAGGGATCAGGGCTTCAGCCGCTGGGCCCCGTGGCCTGCTTAAAAGGGCTCGCGGATGCCCTGTTGAGAACTGCTGCTCTACATGAATAAATTAATACATTTAAAAAATAGGGTCAAATTCTCTGCTGGAATAAATGGGTGAATCTCCATTGGAGTCAATGGAGCTGCACCCATTTACACCAGCAAAGGAATTTGTCTGATTGTCCTGCCCTATAAAAATAAAATAAAAAAATAATAATGGAGATATCCCATCTCCTAGAACTGGAAGGGACCTTGAAAGGTCATCGAGTCCAGCCCCCTGCCTTCACTAGCAGGACCAAGTACTGATTTTGCCCCAGATCCCCAAGTGGCCCCCTCAAGGACTGAACTCACAACCCTGGGTTTAGTAGGCCAATGCTCAAACCACTGAGCTATCCCTCCCTAAGTGCTGCTCCTGCAGAAGCTGCCACAGTGAAAGTGACATTGAGCCAAACAAGAGACTAGGAATCAGGAAGACAGTTCTTGAATCTCACAGCTGTCCAGATTTACCAAAAATAGGGACTATTATTGTGCTGGGTTTTTTTTAAACTCACATTTGTCTGATGTTAAATACCGTCCCACCCCCTTCCCTCCTCCAAATGGCAGAATGACCCAAAGGAGGTGGGACTGGTTAGCCAAGAGGAAATCCATTGTTGGGATACAGAACAACGATCCATCCCAAAGACAGCCAGAAGGAACTGTGACCCTAACAGGCCAGTTCAGGTCAGAGCAATAGGCCAATTCACTTGTGTGTGAATATCAAAGAAATGTTTCGTTCAAAGGAAATCTGAATGATATTGACTTCACTTATCTGTAACCTGTTGAATGCTATTGCATGACATTCTGTCTATCTATACTTAATTAACTCTAGATCAAAAGTGTGTGATAGCATTAAGATGAGAATTTACTTAATGTGTAAACTTCATGAAACTAATGGAATGTTCCTTTTAATGGCAGGCCTTTGCAGGATAGAGATACTTGTAACTAAATAAATACACATTAAATGCAGATGAAGCCTTGGAGGGATGCAAATGAAGAAGAGGCTCGCTTCAAAGCAAATGGTCATTGGTGTAATGATCGGAGGTCAAAGATTCAAGATGCATTCCTCACTCACATCAGCAAAGGAAACCCTTATGGGGAAAAGCATGGACAGCTTGCTTTCTATGTGAAAAAACTATAAATAAGGATTCAGGGAATGATCTTGTGTCTCTGAACTCTCTGGATACTCACACAGAAGCATTCCAGATGTAAGGCAGAGATCCCCAATATTATTTTGGGTAACCCTGAGAGACTGAAGGAAAACTAGCAGATTACTACATCTCTACCACCATTTTGGATTTACAAACTTACACTCACCCCGTAATATATTCTACCTGCTTTAACCTCTCAATAATTCTCATTTTCTTAGCTAATAAGTATTTAGTTAGTTTACTAGAGAAACTGGCTGCCTGTGTTCTCTATGGTGTAAGATTGAGAGCATCCATTGACCTGGGCTAAGTGACTGACCCTTTGGGATTGGGAGTAACCTAATATAATGTGGTTTTTGGTTTATATAACCTTTTATCATCAAGTCCACTGTGTTGGGTGTGACAAAGTTCCTCCTCTACCTTGGTGGGTCCTGCGCTTATTGGCAGATTTGCTCGTTTCAAAGATTCACCCTGTGGGCCAAGAGACCTTCCCCTCTGGTAGAAGCTATAGTCCAGGTCAATTCCTCCTGTGTTTGATCAGGAGTTGGGAGATATGGGGGGAAACCCAGGCCCACCCTCTACTCTGGGTTCCAGCCCAGGGTCCTGTGGACTGCAGCTGTTTAGAGTGCCTCCTGGTACAATTGCACAACACCTACAACTCCCTGGGCTACTTCCCCATGGCCTCCTCCCAACACCTTCTTTGTCCTCACCACCAGACCCTCCTCCTAATGTCTGATAATGCTTGTACTTCCCAGTCCTCCAGCAGTACGCCTACTCACTCTCAGCTTCTTACACACCTCTTGCTCCCAGGTCCTCTCACACACTTCCTCTCCTCTAGCTTCCTAGCTTGACTGGAGTGAGCCCTTTTATAGCATCAGAGGGGCCTTAATTAGAGTCAGGTGCTTAACTGCCTCACCTGACTCTTAGCAGGTTAATTGGAGTCAGGTGGTCTATTATCCTGGTGCAGCCCCTGCTCTGGTCACTCAGGGAACAGAAAACTGCTTATCCAGTGGCCAGTATATCTCCCTTCTGCTACTCTGCTGTTCCCAACTGATTTGGGTCTATCACACTGGGTAGTAAGATAGACTGGAGAGCCTAACAGTTTGTGATTCCATTGTAAGACTAAAATAGTGATCCGGGAGTGCACATTTGTTATTGGCTTGGTGAAATCTAATTACAGAATTTACCACCAGTTTGGGGTATCTGCCCTATTTTCTGACAGTCTGACCTGAGTCTGGCACTCGCAGTTGTGAGCCACTCCAGACAGCGTGACAGGAGCCATGAAGGGTGCCTCTTAATTAGAAGTCTGCCATCCAACTGTGCCTGGCCAGCCCCTGGGATGTCATTAACGCAGCACAGTCCAATCTTAGCAAGGATGAAATGTTTGAAAAACACCTTCCAAGGAACACCTGAGCCTCCAGCAAATGAACGTTTCTTGACCTGGCTGCTTTTCATCTGAGCCTAGAGGAGCAAATAGAAATGAAAAATGTATCTTAAGGGAGGACTTTACCTGCCCCTACACAAACAGATCCTAATACAGTGTGAAATTCACCCCTGTGCAAAGGGCCAACATGAGGCTAATGCAACACTTAAGGGGGAGGGATAGTTCAGTGGTTTGAGCATTAGCCTTCTAAACCCAGCATTGAGAGTTCAGTCCTTGAGAGGGGCACTTAGGGATCTGGGCAAAAATCAGTATTTGGTCCTGCTAGTGAAGGCAGGGGGCTGGACTCGATGACCTTTCAGGGTCCCTTCCAGCTCTATGAGATAGGTATAGTTCCATATATAAATAGACTCCCTTGAGCCAGTTTTAGATAGTGTCTAGTCCTTGTGCTGGGCTTCGGCACTGGGTGAATTTCAATCCCAGTGAAACCTTAATTCTTCCTATTGGAAAATTGCCCCAAAGGAATCAACTTACTGTACATGATCCTTCGCAAGGAATACCAGCAAAAAGAACAACCTCCAAAACAACTCAAAACTGGTGTTTAAGGATTGTTGGGCTACTAAGGACCAGATGCCAAAGTTAGATATTATGAAACCCACTGGGGTATGTCTACACTGCAGATGGGATTGAGCTTCCCAGCCCAGACAGAGAGATACAGGCTAAAAATAGCTGTGTGGACATTGGGGCTGGGCAGAGACTCGGGCTAGCCACCTGAGCTCAGACACAGAGGGTCTGGACCAGTGTCCACACTGCTGTTTTTAGCATGCTAGCCTGCGCTGAGTTAGTGCAAATCTGACTACCCAGACTGGCTGCCAGCTGCAATGTAAATATACCCTTTGAAAACATACCTGGGATTGACTGGCCATGCAAAAAAGGTCTGCAATTCCAAGCTCTCCATTAGCCTGGGAGTGCATAAGCAAACAAACACTGGATACTGCATGTGATGTGCTGAACGTCCCCTGAGGACGAGATAATCTACCGCATCTGCCACTGCCGGGGCGCCCATTTCATAACCACATCAGTGCTGTTAGTGTAATATCTAACTATGGCAGCCCCCTAAGTCTTGGATCAAGTGGGGGGAAATCGTCATAGGGAATAGCTATGGAGAGAAAGTCTTGCAAAACACAGGCCAACACTCATTTGCCTGCTTTATAGCAACCAGCACTAAAACTCCCCAGCATTTATAGTGAGTCTGACGCTGGCAGAGTGCCAGCTCTTGCCAAGGCTTTCGGCCTCAGCCGAGCACTGACAAATTCATTGCTGGAAAACAGTCTGTTTCACTTGTGTGTTAACATGAGTAAAATGGGTACTGGACTTATAACTAAGGCTGTCATGGGGGTCAATGAGTCTGTCATGGAGGTCACGGATTCCGTGACTTTCCGTGACCTCTGCAGTGGCTGGTGCTGGCTCAAGGGTCGGCAGCAGCAGTTTGGGTGTGTGGGAGGGGGCTCAGGACTAGGGGCTGGGGGTTGGAGAATGCAGGGGGGTGCTTACCTCGGGGCTGGGGGCTCCCACTGGCATGGTCCTGCAGCTCCTAGGTGGTGGAGGGGTCGGGGAAGGGGGGGGGGACCTCTGCGCTGCATGCTGCCCACACCTGCAGGCCCCACCCCCCGCAGCTCCCATTGGCTGTGGTTCCCAGCCAATGGGAGCTGTGGCAGCTGGCGCTTGTGCCCCTCCGCTGCCTAGGAGCTGCAGGGAGGCGGAGCCAGGTAGGGAGCCCCTGCCAGCCCCCCCCAACTCTCCCCCCCCCCAGCACAAGTGGGATCCCGGGCCACCTCCCCGAGCACCCACAGTGCCCCCAGACCAACCTCCTCCCCAGAACACCCGTGGCCCCCTGCCCAAGTTTTAGTCTCAGGTATTTTTAGTAAAAGTCATGGACAGGTCACAGGCCATGAATTTTTGTTTACCGCCCATGACCTGTCCATGATTTTTACTAAAAATACCTGTGACTAAAACGTAGCCTTACTTATAACAGTATGTTTAGTGTGTAGGCCTTATGAAATGCTTGTAAATTGCTGCAGGCATTAATCTTATAATTTCTTTATCACATGCTATAAGGTAATATTGAAGTTTTTGATTTGTAACTGCAAAAATGTTTGCTGTGAAACTGCAAACCCAGTCAGGAGGGATCCTCTCCTGCCCATCAAGTAGGCCTATCAAAACTAAATGGGCCATGGGGGGGCATCACAATGCAAAGACTTTGCTAATTGCTCCTTATGCCCATGAAGAGGCTACCTGCAAAAAGGCTCATCCCATCAGCTTGAACTCTGGAAGAAGGACATTAAAATAGCTGACAAGAAATGTTTTCATGTCTTTTGCTGTTTGGACTCTCACAAGGCTGGAGCTATGAAACAGAAGCAGAGATCCCCAGGATCACCCTGAGTTAGACCAAAAGGTCATTCAGAGCAGACAGATTACTACAACTCTGTCACCTTTTGAAACCATACACTAACTCATTTGTGTATATATGTTTGCCTGCTTTAACCTTGTAATAACTCTCTCAGTTTTTGTCTTAATTAATAAACCCTTAGGTAATTGCTATAGGATTGGCTACAAGCTCCTGGAGTCTCTGACAGTCAACTACAATCTCCAGCTGCTAGAAGTCCCGCGGCGCAGTGGGGCTAAGGCAGGCTCCCTGCCTGCCCTGGCCCTGCGCAGCTCCCAGAAGCAGCAAGCATAGCCCTGCTGCCAGGGAGGGGAGAAGGGGTCTCCGCACACTGCTCCTGCCTGCAAGCACCGCCCCCACAGCTCCCATTGGCCGGGAATGGGGAATGTGGCCAATGGGAGCTGTGGGGACGGTGCCTACAGGGAGGGACAGCACGCAGACCCACTTGTCCGCCCCGCCTCCCCATGGGCCGCAGGGGTGTACTCCGGGAGCAGCATGGGTCTGGAGCAGGCAGGAAGCCTGCCTTAGCCTGGCTGCACTGCTGACCAGGAGCCACCCGAGGTAAGTGCCGTCCAGCGGGAACAGGCACCCCCTCCCGCACACCAACCCCCAGGCCCCTCCCGGAGCCAGCACCCCATACCTCCTCCTGCACCCCAATCCCCTGCCCCAGCCCTAAGCCCCCTTCCAGAGCCAGAATCACATACTCTCTCCTGCACCCCCTCCTGTACCCCAACCCCTTGCCCTAGCCCTGAAGCCCCTCCCAGAGCTTGCACCCCTCATCCCCTCCCACACTCTAAACCCCTCGGCCCCAGCCCAGAGCTCGTACCCCCTCACACAACCCAACCCTCTGCCCCAGCCTGGTGAAAGTGAGTGAGGGTGGGGGAGAGTGAGTGATGGAGGGAAGGGGGATGGAGTGAGCAGGGCGGGGCAGATCCAGGGTTGCACTTAAATTCAAAAAGTTTTTTTGTGCGTAAAAGGTTTGGAGACCATTGGTGTATAGCAACCAACTGTTACTAAGTTCAGCTTGCCTGGCTGGCAAAATAGACTGGAATGCCCCAGGGGACGGTCTGTGACTCCACTATTATCGTACTTAGGAGTTCATACTTGTTACTGGGTTGGTGAAACCTAATTATAGAACACACAACCTGTTTGGGGTCTCTGCCCTGCTTCTTGACAGTCTGCCCTGAGGCTGGCACTCACGGTTATGAGCCACTCCAGACGTGACAGAAAGCATGAAAGGACTCCACAGAAAGGTATCAGAATGAAGAAACAATAGTGCAAAATGTACCCTTGTCACCGAAGGCATCACTTGGTCCAATGGGGCTGCCACCAAGAGTTAATAGGGGTCTACAGAATGTTTACTGCTGATGATGATGCATGAGAAGGAAAGAAACCATTTTGACGCTTAGAGACCAGGAAGAGCTTGAAGTTTGAGAGGTGGCAAACTGAATGCATCTGACATAGAAATCATCAAAACAATAACCATTAAACCTCACATGGTCACTTTTACAGCACCAGAGTAAACGGATGTAGCTCCAACAGAGCTATATTGATTTACACCAGTTAAGGTTCTGGCCCAAAGAGTCTCTTTTCAGAGCAGAGCTGCTGGAGTACAATAAAATAAAACAATTCATGGAGTTCCAAACAAACGAACAACTTAACAGCAACCCCCTGCCCTCAGTTCAAACCCGGCACTCAAAAATCTCATGCAATTAGTATGTTAATTATGTCCTTTAGAGAATATACTAATGCCCTAGCTTGAATGATTGGAGGATTGTTAAAAAATTCTACCTAAGAGGCTTGAATTTATCTGCATGTAATAAAATAATTTTTAAATGGCCAAAAGATGAGCTAAAGCATGTACACTTTTGACCCCTTAAGACTAGAATCCTTAAAGTTCACTACAATAAGAGAAAGAAAGAGCTCAGAAGAAAACAATGTATGTGATTCAAGGTTTAGAAAATAAGCTCTAGGGGGGAAGAACAAGGCATTTTCAGTCTGGATACAAGGACAAGGGTTGGGATAAATCCAAGAGTTCTCAGGGAGTTTAAGACCGAAGTGGCTGAGTCATTAACAAAAATACCCAGCGTCTCAATATAAGCAGCTATTATTCCAGAGGGCAGCAATGTTAAAACGGTGCTACAGATGATCCTAATTAGACTAAGTATCAAGTACATTAGTTACAGGAATTGCCAGATTGGACCAGATCTATAGTGCAGCTAATACAGCATCTGGTCTCTGACACTGGCCAGTACTAAATGCCTCAGAGTAAGGTTCAAGTAATCCAATAGTGGACAATACAAAGTAACTAGTCTATAGGAGAAATTTCTTCCTAACCTCCATCTGTTAGTGGCTGTTATAAAGAGACACAAGAACAACTAATTATTCTCACGACAGAATCAGCTTTGGACATAGACCAGTCAGCAAAGACGGACTCTCGATGGAGCATTTACAGACATTCACCAATTAGTCTAGGAAAGTAACAGGACGATCAAACTTTTTCCTCTAATAAAGTAAAGTATAAAGTTTTATTTGTAGAACAAAGTCACTGATATATTATTAACACAGATGTATATGTAACACGAGGTTCAAGCATACAGCTGCTTTATCTTCTGAACGGATTGTTTCCACCAACCCTCCCAGCGTTGAGCCTTCATTAACTGGGCTGTCTTTTCCTCCTTAATCTTCGCAAACTCCTCTTCCAGCTTATGCTTATATTTCTGAACAAATAACCAAAAAGAAGAAACTGGTTAAGATCAGATATACACCTCTACCTCGATAGAACGCTGTCCTCAGCAACCAAAAAATCTTACCGCATTATAGGTGAAACCGCATTATATTGAACTTGCTTTGATCCACCGGAGTGCGCAGCCCTGCCACCCCGGAGCACTGCTTTACCGCATTATATCCGAATTCGTGTTATATCGGGTCTTGTTATATTGGGGTAGAGGTGTACCTGCCATTTCTTTTAGTTTCTAACTCCATGCCCTGCCCTGCTGTGTCAAATGATTTGTGCACTGGCCACTTATTTTCCATATTTGACAACAGAGCTATACAGCTATTTAATTATTCATTGCCTCCTTTTCTTTCCTTTATTTAATGGCTACTGAAACAAACAAAATAAATATTTAAGTTTTGCTTTTAAGTATACATTGGGTTACAATGTTAGATGCTCTAGCCCACCTCAGTGAGTTCCTATGAGTAAAGATCTACTTGTTCTAGAAGGGGGAAGGGCTCTAAGTCTCAAATCTGCTTTTGTCCTAGAACTCGCTAAGGCAGAGAGACGAGCTAAACTGTGTGATGAAGCTGCTCGGAGGTACATCACCTAGACAGGATGGGGAAGTTGTGAACCTTCTACCATCATTAAAACCTCCAGACCAAACAAATGAGTTCTTGTTCTAAAAATGAAAACGGTTTTCTTGAACCTACACTTCATTGTTTCATTTTGCCTTACCAAAATATATTTTATTGTGCAGTATGTATGTACTATATGATATATACATTGATTAATATTACTCAGACACATCTATGCATACACCATGCCTACCTCACAGGAGTGTTTTGAGGCAAGTGCTTCATTATCATTACTACATATATAAAACTGACACCGTTTTATGGTCTTGCTACCTCTGCCGTAATATATATATATTTTGTACTCTCCATACAAATGATTGTTGAAATAAAGTCACTTCCAGAACTGGCCCAGCCACGTTGATCTTTTATTCCCAGGAGGACTTAAAGCACCTTTCCCCTGCTGCTGATTTTGCTGTTCTTTGAGCTATCTGCAATGTGAGTTGGAGGGCTTTGAAGTAATCTGGAATAGAATCTGTTCATTTTTCCTACTGGCCAAAGTGACGAGAGGGTGACCCTACTAGTGGCAGAAAGAGAAATCTGAGATGACTCAGGATTTAGGATGGAAATGGGAATGGATCTTACCACCCATTCCACTCCAAGGGAGAATTAGCCTTGTGATCCAAGACTGAAATTGCAGACTTTGGGAAGAGAAATGAGTGCTGTATTGAAACAGCATGAGGGGGAAATCCTGACAACACAGTTACTGTCCAAACTGCAATTCTATTGACATACATCAGTGATCATCTGTTCTGGCACCATTCATTGTTTTGTCCTATTGAAAAGTGGGGAAGTGCCTGATGGAAAAGGCTCTCAGCAGAAATCACTCAAGCACTTTCTACTTTTGTCATCATTATAAAGAAAGAGAAATGAGGAGGGATTTCTAGTCACTGATTTTGACTATAATCTTTGAAAAGACTCGCAGTGTGCCTTGGTTGTATGAGCAGGTACATTTTCTTCTCTTATAGCCCCCTGAAATTTCACCTCTCTCCCACACAAACCACATAGGCTGCATCTCTTGCTTCTTCTGCTGAAACATGACCCAGAGTAGTTTTGGCTGTTGTCACAGAGGCAGTTTCTCTGCAGAGAATATGGTCTGGAACGTCTGTGAGCGTGGTCTTCGGTATTCCTGGCCAGGTCCTTAAAACCACAAACAAGAAATTTTTTAAAAACTTTTTGGTGGAGGAGGAGGAAGGGAGTAGAACGATTTTACTGCTAGTTATACCTAAAGAGGAAATACAGATTTTTTTTTTCCAGAAAGAAATCTTCACAAAAGCAGAATCTAGATTAATACTTGCCTTTCATATTCTTAGCCTGGGAGTGGGGAATTTAGTTATTAAAAAAAACTAGAACAAAAAAAATGCTTTGTTTTTTGTTATGTGCGAATCCCATTGATTAATATGTGGTCACATGATCAAAACAGGTAGGGTTTGTCCCGAGGTCGGCATTTCCCCCCTCTCTGAAGTACATTAGTTACTAGAGAAACAACATCATAATTGTTGTGGGTAGAACTTAGGAAGTTCAACAAGTGTAGTGACATCAACAAGTGTGGTAGAAAACTGTGTGGACAGTACCCGGAAGCATTTTTGACAGAAAATGTGCAGAGAAGCATTCAATATATACTAGTGATACCTGCTGCCACGTTCAGTTAACGGCTTAATGTCATGGATCTCTAAAGAAAGCCCAGCTCGTTTACGACGGATTAAGGTGGAGATCTTCTCTTTCGGCATTTCAATTTCTGGGACACAGCAAAGGACAGACTTAGTAACAGCGAGACAAGACCAGCTACATATCATTGCTCCAAAGCAACTGCACGAAGCTGGATACTTTTAGTTTTCAAGAGGTAACTTTGCAAGAAGTCAGTGGATCATCCGAATTCTTTCCTTTCACAGTACTCAAGTGTCTCCTATTCCTAAACCTCATCACCAGAGCACAGAAATAGTTTTCCAATTGACCCTAGAGCCCTGTGAATAGCATCCTGAACGGCCGTGTGGTGGGACTGAGGTGTTGGAACATCCTAAGGGCCAATTCTGGTTTGGTCACAAGACCCAGAGTAGGGGGTGGCAGAGGTAAAGATTCTGGGCTGCAAACTAGTTAACAGGCGGCCCTGGGAGGCAGCTGTAATTAGAGCAGCCGGGGGTTGTACCAGCCCCCATGGCAACTTAGAATCTTGAGTGCACAAACCACCATTGGACTCTCACCACTTCCTCCCCCTGGTCTGTGCAGTCTATGCTGCATCTCCAAGGGGCGCAGCACAGAACCTCCCTTACAGTGTCAGTCAGGGAAGAAGGGAGATGCAAATATGTCGCTCTCAAGAACTTGATCTGAAACCACAAACTCTAAACTTTTACTGATAGTTAGTCTGATAAGCAACCAGAATAGCACTCATCCAAATCTCTGGGTACTTTTTACTAAATTTAAATTGCATAAAACTTCCCTTGAAACCTTTAGACAAGGAACACTATAAGAAAAAATCAATGGATGACAGCATTTGGCATTACAAGTTATTCGGTATAATGAAATATAGCTATGAAAAGCAATAGGCATTTGCAATTCTAGAAGCAATAGTGCAGAAGATTACAGAAGGAACTCTATTTCTCCTTTTAACAACATTTTACTTAAAGCACCAAGAAGGAAGTGGAGAACTGGGTAAGTGTTCCATTCAGTTGACTTACTTGCTACTTGTACATCATCAACGGTGATACTTTCATCTAACTCCAGAAGCAGGTTTTCTGTGAGGCTAGCTAGCGCAGAAACAAATTTCTGGGCACACTCAGCAGCACAGGCCTGTGGGGACACAGTTATCAGTTAGGATTCGAGTATGAGTGGAGATGGGAAAAGTTCTCCCTCCAAAGAATCTCATCTCCTTTCAGAGCAGCTCTGAAGAGTTACACAGCTCTCCAACCTCGCTTTTGTGCAACAGCTACAGAGCAGCACTTTATGAAAAGCTCACAGAGTGGCCTCTCTGGAGTGCTCCTAATGCAAACATGTCATTGATTAGATTGATGTAAATTATTAAATGGCATAAGAAGATCTGTGTAGTTAGACAGAATCTGCCCAAAGAGTTGCACAATATGCTTAGTTAGAAAACCGAAACATCCACGGGGAAAACACCCATCACCTGCTGCTATTAAGATAGCTAACCAGGAGATGTCACCATTACTCCATTCTCACACGCCGTCACTACAACACTAAGAAGCAACAGAGGGTCCTGTGGCACCTTTGAGACTAACAGAAGTATTGGGAGCATAAGCTTTCGTGGGTAAGAACCTCACTTCTTCAGATGCAAGAAGTGCATCTGAAGAAGTGAGGTTCTTACCCACGAAAGCTTATGCTCCCAATACTTCTGTTAGTCTCAAAGGTGCCACAGGACCCTCTGTTGCTTTTTACAGATTCAGACTAACACGGCTACCCCTCTGATACTACAACACTAGTTTCAGAACCAAGACTATTATCATTATGGGAGTAGACAAATGCAAGTTCATCCCTTTCCTCAGTTTGCACTGTGAATAAATACCCCATGGAAACAACAGATTGACTACAATCTTAGGAAGAAAGCATGGTCTAGTGGTGACAGCACAGAATTAAGAGTCAAAAGATATTGTCTTTAATGGGGTTGCCTAAAACTAAAAATCTTTTCCAGTTCACTTTTAATGGGGAGGTAAAATGCATCCTAAACTCCAACCTCTGACCTTGAGCAACAAATCAAATAGGTTCTAACAAGCCACAGTCTAGCATGTCACTCATACCTGCAGTTTCTGAGTGTTAAAGAGTATCCCATCAGCTTGGTCTTTTTGTCTTTTTAACTCCTCCTGGCACAAAACCTCCAGCTGGGGTAAGTTGTCTGGGTGCCCCAGAGCTGGACGCAGTTTGTTCTTGTTCTCAGCCTTTAATCAAACAAATACATCACTAGCATTTTCTGTAAAGAATGTGTGACTGGGTCCTAGAGAGAAAGAGGGATGAGTAGAAACACAACTCTTTTGTGCATCAGTTGTAACAGGGTGGCATGTTCTTTAATGGCTAAAGGCTTGGGGCTAGCCAACCCTAGTTACTAAGGAGATAGCTGATCCCTGCTCAGGTGTGATTCCCCTATAAAGAATAGCAACAAGCTGCATAGAGAGAATCCCCAGATAGATCAGAGTGGGGACAGAGAGATGACAGAGGGTGAGGGAAGCAGGTAGGCTCCAGCAGAGAACCCTGAGACATCAGTGACATTGTGATGCTTCTTAGGGGTCCCCCGGGTTGCGAGGCACCTCACTATCACCTACCCTTAGCATGAGGAAATCTTGTTGTACCTACTGTGGGTCAGACCCTTAACTCTACCGGCCTCTGGCAGCACTAGCATTGTCCTCCAGGCCTTCGCTGGCCTTGCTCTTGCTATTAGCAATAGGCACACACCACCACCCATTGCTTTGGAGTGCCCAGCCCCGATCCTCTGAATATTCACAGAACTTCCAGATTCTCTACTCCCAAAGGAACAGTGCACACAAGCTTACTAGTGTCAACTAAGGATCACCACTCCGCTTAACACACAGCACTTAGAGATATTTATAGTGAAAACAAGAATAGGTTTTTTTTAATCAAAGAACAGAGATTCATATGGACAGCAAGTAAAAATACTGGAAACAAAACAAAATCATAACATGCTTTTGAAAGCCTGAACTTACCTCCAAGTTTAACTATTCTAATTAAAAATAGGAGACAAACTAGGAAATGAAATCAGGGGGTGATTTAGGAGTCAGTGGCGTAAGCAAGCAAATGAGTTTAATGTAAATGACAATAACATGTTCTGTCAGACAGTGGATACTTTATACCGGAGGTATTCCAGCATGCCCATAAACCATACCTTTGCATTGTCCCATTCTTCCAGCTGTTCTCTGAAGAGTTGCCGGATCTGATCAGTGGAGTGTCTGAGCTGCTGCTCATGCTCTTTAAGAAGGCTGTCGATAACCAGATGGGAGACATGAGGGAGTTGTTCTTCAAACAACTTCAACTGATCCCAGAACTCTGGTGAGAAAGGCAGCCACAGGAAGGTTTGTGTCACATAAAGACATTGATGTCAAGGAACCAGAAAACAAACAAACTAATGTATAGTATAAGTGCCAAAAGTGACTGGAATTTTCTTTCACACACACTCCTCTTTCTGTCCACTGGCCCAGGACCACTGGTTGACGACACACACAAGTCCTGAAGCATTTGTACAAGACTTCCAATTAAATATTTTTGCAATGGTCTTTCTCACATAAATTTTAGTAACTGACAGCACCCCAGTTACAGGTAATTGGCCCAATTCTGGTCCCACAGAAGTTAATGAGAGTATTGCCACTGACTGGAGTAGAAACATAACTAGGCTTTAAAACTTTGCACAATTTGAAAGCAGAGATTCCAGCCTTTTCAATGATAACAGGACCTTAAATTTATACTAAGCCTACCCTGGTTCCTTCTTCTTCCATTGGCATAGGCCCAAGACTGAATTAAGAAAACTCTGGACTTCTGATCATTTCAGTTTTCAATTCCAATTGATACATATGACAAAGTATTAGGTCCTAGGATTTTACCTATTAGGCAGGAATTATGGTAATCATCCGTCTGGCTCTGATAAGACAGGAGCTTCTGCCCAAACAATTCTGCACAATGGTCAAATGTCTCTTGCAGATATTCAGGCCTTGTGATTTGATGCTTATCCTTTCGGTAAAACTCCTTTGGAAGGTAAAGACGAGGTAAAGAAAAGGACTTGACAAAGTGTCCAATCTAAGAGTCACTACTGCGAACATATCAGTACAGTGGATCTTTAGGTCTTTCACCCTCCCCTTCGTTCTGTGCCACCTTTATCCTCCCCCACTTGAGCTTTACCGTCAGCTTTGACCTGAGCAGGGAATGTTTGCTGAGAATGCAGATTCATTACCAGATATCAGGCGTTTTGTCAAACCTCTTTCCCTTGTAACTAGATCACATCCAGTCTCTGCTCTCAGCTTTCCCAATCATCTTGTTATTAAGGTGATGTTGTAGTCTCTGAATTCACGACACTGAGATGTGGTTATGGCCATTAAAAGCAGGGCATTTTGGTATATTTATAATAGGCTGTGAAAAACTGAGACCAAGACATTTTCCACCTCCATTTTGTCGTAATCTGAGCCTACTGGCTGACCCTGTTACAACTAACAGGGTTTGAGTTGTGTTGGTAGTGAAGCCTTTCTATCACATAACTATGGCAGAGGTATGTATATTCATCCACACCTGCTATTCTGCCAAACAGGGATGGTATAAAGTTTAGTTATTGTTTGTACAGAACTTTAAGATATAAAAGCAAATGCATGTATTAAGTATTATTATTATACACTGGATGCACTAATAAAGTAAGAAAAATTATTGTGGAGTTCCATTGCAATATAGTAGAACCAAATTGCTAAACTACTACAGGAGTAAATCCGCAATAGTAGAAATTGACTGCAGAAAATAAAGTTTTCTTACCTCAGCAAGATACAGCAAGGTATCATTACCCTCCCAGAGAATACAGGTGATAATCCCCTTAAAATGACTGAAACCAAAACACAATGACAATGCAAAAAGTACTTGGTACTGGGAATATTTCTGACTTTTTAAAACATTTTATCTCATTGAATATGAGAGGTTAATATATTAAAATAAATCATAACTACAATGTAAATAACATATATTTGTATATGTTGCTGTAAGAATGCCTAAGATGACCCCATCCCTCTTGGTACAGCTCCTCTTCAAAGCAAGCAAAGACAAGAGTAAAATGCACATACAAAAGCCCATGCAGAAAATATTAGGTGTAGCATAACAAAAAAGGCAAAACCAGCTACATTTCTACGCTAAGGGGCATACATAATATAGTTCTATAGCTTCCATCATTATGCTTTTTGACAGGTTTCCACTCCTTCTCCTTTTGTGTCCCTTTTTATCCAATGCATCAAAGGATATAAAACAACCACACCTATAATTAACACTTCACGTTTATTCCATTGTCATTAAGACTGTACAATTGTCTAATCTAGCTTTACAAAAATAGCAATTTAACTGTGCATTGGATCAATACTTTAGGAAATACAGAGCAAACTTACTCAGATTCTTTAGGCTTCTCTCCAAAGATGTGGAACTTCTTGTCAATTCGACCTGATCTCGAGTATTTTTGTATGCTGAAAAGGCAAAGATTTTCTACTTTATTCAAAAGAATTCAGACTTTTAATACATTGTCTCTCCCTCCCCTCCCCCCCAGCCAGTTGTTTATGATACTACGGTCATATAAACTTTATCAAATTACAAAAAAAGGCTGTGAAGATTTTCATGCCCCACATTTATATGACATGAAAATTATCATCTGATAGAGACGTTCTCAGGATTCGGCTTCCTATGGGCCTTCCAGATCCTCCCTTTCCTGACCTTCCTTTAGAACAGATGATCCAATACAAGATATTACCTCACCCACCTTATCATGTTAATATCCTGCGATCAACATCGCTACAACTACACTGCATACAGATTAGCATCTAGCCACAAAAATGCCCATTTAATGTGTTTAAGAGCCAAGTTGAGTTTCCAAAATAGGACATCCAGTTTAGGCACCCACATTTGAAAATTACGATACCTGTGCTGTCTGTGCTATCAATAATATACACACACATCCATATATTTGGAAATTACACTCTGTTTTTATATTACATACACACAACTTTGTATAGCATCAACCTGCATCCAAAACACTTTGTATTAACTGAAATAGGAGAGAGAGAGAGAGAGAGAGAGAGAGAGAAATTAATAGGTAGAGGTGAGGTTTGAGATGTGATTTGAAATGAGAGCGAGCTGATAAGGCACAAACACACAGCGCAGCTGTTCCAGATGGTAGGCACCACTGTGGAAAAGGCTCACACCAACGGTAGTGAGAATGTGTGGGAGGATGGAAAGCAGGCTAGTGTTAGAGGGAAGTAGACACAAAAACACATACACAAGATGCTGGAGTTTCTCTTTCCATAGTCCTTACCTCCCCACTGAGAACTTTTTGTTTACAGAGGTAGACATCTTGGGTCCTACAGATAAATTGCCATAAGGAACAGAGTTCTGGGGACTTTCAGCATGCAGATTTGAAACAGAACCTCTCTGTGCTGTGGGAACCTGATAAGTTGCTTGATAAATCGGCTGATAAATGGGTTGATAAATGGGTTGATAAACGGGTTGATAAATCGCTTATAAGGAAAGAGGAAATAAATTCTGTAAGCCAAATTCGAAGTCATTTCTATACATTTATACAGCATGTGTTTCCATTTCCATGCGGAGTACTCCTAACATTAATTGACACTAGTGAAGAGAAAACATCAAGATGTTTCTAAATTGGATTCAGCACCCAGAAGTCTAGGTGCTAATCTATGCAGGATGTAGGTGTGCTGTCCCAGCAGGTGCCCAGGGAAGAGCTCCTTGCATCACCTTTGGGTAGGGAAGCGGTATGAGCCTCTGCCATTCCGGGCTTCCCTCCAGCCCCATCCCATCTATATGCTCATGGGAAGAGAATCTAGAAACTAGGAGCTGCTCTCTGCACCAAATGCAGGCGCAAGATCCAGGTATATCTCACAAGGTGAGAAAGGGCTCAGGGGTTTCATTCCCTTGCAGGGCCATTTAAGACAAGGGCACAATCCAGCCACAAGAGAATAGTCTGCTTTACTGTGTTTTGGTATTTCCACTTCAGGTCCTGAACTAAATTAGGAATAAAAGCAAGTGGAAAACATACAGAGTAGCTAAGCAAACAGTTTCTGAACCTCAGAAAGGTTTGGATGAGCATATTTTTGTCTCATCCAAACCAATTTGTCCCTGCCTGATTAGATGCTTCTTTCATAAGAGGTTGGGTTCTTCTCTGGCTACAGCTCTCAGCTTTCACTTTTCACACCAGAGTTTAAGTCCAACTTGAAGTACTAAGTGACCTGAGTTTGATGGCCTCAACTCAGTCTCTGGTGAATGTGTGTCCTTATAAAACTACCACGTGTTTGACACAAATGGCAGTGTCTGCTTAAGGGAGGCTCAGAAATGAGCAGGTATGGCTAGCCCAGAGTGGACTCTCCATGTCAGAGGGAGATTATTGATTAGGCAGCCTGAGAAAGCTCATATTGCATCATGTCTAGGACCAAGGCAAGGATGTGGGAAGAGGGATTACTCTATCACTGGATCTCCATCACAGGTACCTTTTCAAAGTGCTGCATGGGGTTTAGTTCTAAAAGTCCTATTAACCTCCATGGAAGTTATATGGAGAGCTGCCACTTTCAAAACCTCAATGGAATTACATGAACAGCTGTCACATACACTTTACCTAAACCAACATAATCCTTCATTTAAAACAAAACAAAAACAAAAAATAGAGAGAGAATATCACTGCCTTCTCCTAAGGGAGTATATATGCACTCACATAAAGATATAGCGGTAAGTTTTGTCCCCTGTACACTGGCGCATATGGTTGGGGACAAAGAAAAAGTGTGTAGGGGGCCTCTTTCCTTCTCATAAGCAGCAGGACAGGATTCATCCAACCTCTCAAGACAGCACTAGGAGATCTGGCTATCCAGTATGTTTCCATGCACCCCATATCTCAAAGGATGTCTGGTGCGCACATACCCAGTCAACTGGCATGTATGATGCAAACAAGAAAAAACATGGCCTGTAGTAGGCGGATATGTACTTTATTCCTGCTCAGAGGTATAAATATATAGTCACATATTAAGAGTTGTCAGTTAAAATATATATTTCTTTCGGTCAATCCATAAGAAAGAGAACTTCAGCAGTAAAAGGAGTGCTTGCATACCTCCTGCTACTGACTGTGAGCGATCATCTCTCTCATACCGCAGTTCTGGAGATTTCTTGGGTTGCTGAATTCTGAAACAAAAATTAAGAGCTATGTAGCTTCTAAATACCCAGCTACCAGTTCTCTATCGTTGTCATGGTCTGAGAGCACTTTAATCTCTGAGATACTGCCTAATGTTAGGGCTAAATTTACAAAGGCATGTCTAACTGCAATAATTTGCACAAGAATAATTCAAATGATGTAGTATAATTGAAAATTAGAAGTTTCTGCAAGCACAATTGTGCATTCAAACATGCTATTGAAAAGGTCTGGAGCTTGCCATTTCACACCATCCACTGTCTAATTATTCATTAACGTTTATACATTTTCCTCATACGTTTACCTTTATGGAACATTTTATCTCCCTTTAAGTCAAACAATGCCCTTGAAGCCAGAAAACTAGTACTCAGTTAACATCTATTTTTACAGCACTTTAGTTGAACTAGTGAAATTTAATTGAACTAGTGAAACCTGAGCCATCCTTTGTAGGTGACAAATCTGAGGAATTCTCACAGATTGAAGTGTCATTAGAGGAGGTTTTGGAATTAATTGATAAATTTAACAGTAACAAGTCACCGGGACCAGATGGCATTCACCCAAGAGTTCTGAAAAAACTCAAATGTGAAATTGCGGAAATATTAACTATGGTTTGTAACCTGCCCTTTAAATCAGCTTATCTGTACCCAATGACTGGAAGATAGCTAATGTAATGCCAATATTTAAAAAAGGCTCTAGAGGTGATCCCGGCAATTACAAACCGGTAAGTCTAACATCAGTACCGGACAAATTAGTTGAAACAATAGTAAAGAATAAAATTGTCAGACACATAGAAGAACATAAATTGTTGGGCAAAAGTTAACATGGTTTCTGTAAAGGGAAATCATGTCTTACTAATCTATTAGAATTCCTTGAAGGGGTCAATAAACATGTGGACAAGGGGGATCCAGTGGACATAGTGTATCCAAAATACACCAGAGACCGCTGTAACGTTGGTTTTTCAATACATGCATGTAGAGTACGTTATTA